CACGTCCTGCTGGTGGTGGTGGTGGCGCACGTCCTGCTGGTGGTAGTGCTGCACGTCCTCTGGGTGGGTATGCGCTGCACGTCCTGCTGGTGGTGGTAGTGGCACGTCCTGCTGCTGGTGGTGTGCTGCAAGTCCTGCTGCTGTGGTGGTAGTGCTGCAAGTCCTGTGCTGGTGGTGGTAGTGCACGTCCTGCTGCTGGTAGTGGCACGTCCTGCTGGTGGTAGTGCTGCACGTCTGCTGGTGGTGGTAGTGCTGCACGTCCTGCTGGTGTAGTGCTGCACGTCCTGCGCTGCTGGTTGTAGATGCTGCACGTCTTGCTGGTGGTGGTAGTGCTGCACGGTCCGGATGTCCTGCTGGTGGTGGTGGTAGTGCTGCATTCTGTCTTCCTCCGGCAGGAAATGTAGTTCTGTGGGGTCGTAAACGTCCCCAACTGCTTCACAAATATCCGAGGAAAAGATGGGGAGGGGAGGGATATATAGGTCTTATCTGGGCCAGTGATGATGCGCCCCCACACACACACACACACACACACTCTCACCACACACACACACACTCTGCCTGGAGCGAGTGAAAGTGACCAGTTCGTTGACGTATTCCGAGAGCGATAGACTTAAAGATAGACAAATGGTTGAGTGGATTGATAGACGGACGGTGTAGACAAATAGATCGATAGTTATATTGATAGATAGATAGAGAGAGGTAGTTTTGGTTTAACAACTTTAATGGCAAAATTGAGTTACAATTTGCTTGTAGATAGACAGAAAGATAGGTAGCCAGATAGGTGGATGGATAGACAGATAGGTAGCCAGATAGGTGGATGGATAGACAGATAGGTAGCCAGATAGGTGGATGGATAGACAGATGGGTAGCCAGATAGGTGGATGGATAGACAGATAGGTAGCCAGATAGGTGGATGGATAGACAGATAGGTGTCAGATAGGGTGGATGGATAGACAGATAGGTAGCCAGATAGGTGGATGGATAGACAGATAGGTAGCCAGATAGGTGGATGGATAGACAGATAGGATAGATAGGTGGATGGATATAGAGAGAGGTAGACAGGGTGGATGGATAGATAGGTAGCCAGATAGGTGGATGGATAGACAGATAGGTAGCCAGATAGGTGGATGGATAGAAGATAGGTAGCCAGATAGGTGGATGGATAGACAGATAGGTAGCCAGATAGGTGGATGGATAGACAGATAGGTAGCCAGATAGGTGGATGGATATGATAGGTAGATAAATAGATAGATCGATGATAAACAGTCAGATAAATAAACATTTTAATAGATACACAAATAGATAGATGGATATTTATTATTAAAATCGTTATAAAATTCACATTAATTCATTGTATATAGACACAGTGCAGGTATACAATGTACATAGACAAGTATACAATGTACACATAGACAGTGCAGGTATACAATGTACATAGACAGTGTGTGTGTTACACATAGACAGTGCAGGTATACATGTACACCTAGACAGTGCAGGTATACAATGTACATAGACAGTGCAGGTATACAATGTACACACAGACATGCAGTATACAAACATAGACAGCAGGTATACAATGTACACATAGATATACAATGTACACATAGACAGGCAGGTATAATGTACACAGATGCAGGTATACAATGTACACATAGACAGTGCAGGTATACAATGTACACATAGACAGCATAATATACATAACAATAACAATAACAGAATATATACAATGTACATAGACAGTGCAGGTATACAATGTACACATAGACAGTGCAGGTATACAATGTACACATGAACAGCGCAGGTATACAATGTACACATAGACAGTGCAGGTATACAATGTACACATAGACAGTGCAGGTATACAATGTACACAGACAGTGCAGGTATACAATGTACACCAGACAGCCAGGTATACAATGTACACATAGACAGTGCAGGTATACAATGTACACATGACAGTGCAGGTATACAATGTACACATAGACAGTGCAGGTATACAATGTACACATAAAGTGCAGGTATACAATGTACACATAGACAGCGCAGGTATACAATGTACACATAGAGTGCAGGTATACAATGTCACATAGACAGTGCAGGTATACAATGTACACATAGACAGCCAGGTATACAATGTACATAGACAGTGCAGGTATACAATGTACACATAGACAGTGCAGGTATACAATGTACATAGACAGTGCAGGTATACAATGTACACATAGACAGCGCGAACAATGTATGCACACATAGACAGTGCAGGTATACAATGTACACATAGACCAATGCAGGTATACAATGTACACATAGACAGCGCAGGTATACAATGTACACATAGACAGTGCAGGTATACAATGTACACAAGACAGTGCAGGTATACAATGTACACATAAACAGCGCAGGTATACAATGTACACATAGACAGTGCAGGTATACAGTACACATAGACAGCGCAGGTATACAATGTACACATAGACAGTGCAGGTGACAATGTACGCAGATAATATTCAATGTACACATAGACAGTGCAGGTATACAATGTACACATAGACAGCGCAGGTATACAATGTACACATAGACAGTGCAGGTATGCAATATGCCACGATACAATGTACACATAGACAGTGCAGGTATACAATGTACACATAGACAGTGCAGGTATACAATGTACATAGACAGCGGTATACAATGTACCATAGACAGTGCGGGTATACAATGTACACCTAGACAGCGCAGGTATACAATGTACACCTGAACAGTGCAGGTATACAAAGTACCATAAACAGCGCAGGTATGATGCACATAGACAGTGCGGGTATACAATGTACACATAGACAGCGCAGGTATACAATGTACACATAGACAGTGCAGGTATACAATGTACACATAGACAGCGCAGGTATACAATGTACACTATACAGCGCGCAGGTATACAATGTACACGTAGACAGCGCAGGTATACAATGTACACATAGACAGCGCAGGTATACAATGCACATGAACAGTGCGGGTATACAATGTACACATAGACAGTGCAGGTATACAATGTACACATAGACAGTGCAGGTCAACACCCAGACAGTGCAGGTATACAATGTACACATAGACAGTGCAGGTATACAATGTACACATAGACAGCGCAGGTATACAATGTACACACATAGACAGTGCAGGTATACAATGTACACATAGACAGTAGGTATACAATGTACACATAGACAGTGCAGGTATACAATGTACACATAGACAGTGCAGGTATACAATGTACACATGACAGCGCAGGTATACAATGCGCATGAACAGTGCAGGTATACAATGCACATAGACAGTGCAGGTATACAATGTACACATAGACAGCGCATACAATGCACATAGACAGCGCAGGTATGCAATGCACATAGACAGTGCAGGTATACAATGTACACATAGACAGTGCAGGTATACAATGCACACATAGACAGTGCAGGTATACAATGTACACATAGACAGTGCAGGTATACAATGTACACATGGCAGCAGGTATACAATGTACACATAGACAGCGCAGGTATACAATGACACATAGACAGCGCAGGTATACAAACACATAGACAGTGCAGGTATACATGTACACATAGACAGTGCAGGTATACAATGTACATAGACAGCGCAGGTATACAATGTACACATAGACAGGGGTATACAATGTACATAGACAGCAGGTATACAATGTACACATAGACAGTGCAGGTATACAATGTACACATAGACAGTGCAGGTATACAATGTACACATAGACAGCGCTGGTATACAATGTACACATAGACAGTGCAGGTATACAATGTACACATAGACAGTGCAGGTATACAATGTACACATGAACAGTGTAGGTATACAATGTACACCTAGACAGTGCAGGTATACAATGTGCATAGACAGTGCAGGTATACAATGTACACTAGACAGTGCAGGTATACAATGTACACATAGACAGTGCAGGTATACAATGTACACATAGACAGTGCAGGTATACAATGTACACATAGACAGTGCAGGTATACAATGTACACATAGGCAGTGCAGGTATACAATGTACACATAGACAGTGCAGGTATACAATGTACACATAGACAGTAGGTATACAAACAATGATATACATAAATATATATTGATGAGCAAACATAATAGCGATGATAAATGAAGAGTGATTAAATATATAATATTATATTATAGAAACGGACTTGCGTTGCTGCCGCCCGAGGTCACTGTTATCACGGTCTCTGGTTAGCCAAGAGGTGTAGGGTCGTGAGTGGCACGTTTGACCAGTGCCAGGCAGGTTGACGTCATGGTCGACTCCTATTGGCAGGTGTGTCTGATGGGGGGTTCTGAAGTCACGGTGGCCTTACGCACATACATACACCTACACACATACATATAATACATACATATAATACACACACATATACATATACATATCAAACTCGGAAAAGTGTTGACCTCCTCTCCTCCCTCTTCTTCCTTCCCTTACCTCCCTTACCCTTCTCCCCTCCCTCCCCTCCCCTTACCCTCCCTCCTTACCCTCCTCCCTTAACCTCCCTCCACCCTCCTCCCTCCCTCCCTCCCCTCCCTCCCTCCTTACCCTCCCCTCCCCTCCCTCCCCTCCCCTCTCCTTTCCTATTTTTAATCCATCAACTTAACCTTTTCATTTCAAGAAGGAAATAACCACAAGGAGAAGGAAAGGGCCCTTATGTGCCAATGGTCGAGGGGTTGTTTTCAAGGTACCGCCCCTGTGTGTGGTATAGGCCTGTATGTCCTCTGGCCGCTGTAGGTAATGAATAGGCCGTACGTGACCGTGACAAGGTGTGGGCTTCGTGTGGGGAGGTACAAGTTCTGTGGGGAGGGGTGTGTATATGTTTGTTTGTATGTATGTGTGTCAAATTTGAATGGCATGTATTCATATATATATAATTTGTATAGTTAATGACGGTATATCTAATAGTTTTTATTGTTGTCTTTCACAGGTGGGTGTCTAGTGAGGGACTTACGCCGTCGGTTCAACTGTTAAGGTATAGTGATGTCTGTGTGTTGTTTTGTCTTCACCTGACAGGACTTGATTCATTCACTTGCTTCATTCATTCATTTATTTCACTCACTATCTTCTTCGTTCACTCACTCACTCACTCCACTATAGTTCCTGGGTTCACTCTGTTGGACATCATAATCTACTGATGTCCTCTTGTCAATGTCCGGGGAAAATGTGTCACTCAAGTGTGTCCGTGTTAGAAGTGGACACAGTGGTGATGCTGTGTCCAAGGTGATGAGCGGAACAGCAGTACAGTAACAGCACCATGAAAACAGCACTACCACCACCAAAACAGCAACAGCACTATGTACTGCCGTGTGTGTGTGTGTGTGTGTGTGTGTGTGTGTGTGTGTGTGTGTGTGAAGGATGGATCAATAGGCCCACAGCCGTCCTGTCCGCCTCACGCAGGGTCAACCTTTCCTACCTCACCGTGCAGGCCGTGCTCTGGTGGTGGTGCAGGCTGTGTACAAGTGGTGGTGCAGGTCGCACTTTGGAAGGGGTGCAGGCCGCGTTCTGATGGTGGTACTGACCACGCTGTAGTGGTGATGCAGGCCACTTTTTAATTATAGTGTGGGCTTTGCTCTTGTTGTGGTGCTGGTCAGGCTCTTGTGGTTATGCAGGCCTCATTCTAGTGCTAGCACAGACTGTACTCTTTTAGGGGTGCAGGCCACGCTCTACTATAGTGGTAGTGCAGGTCACACTCTAACAGTAAAGCAGGTCATACTCTGGTACTGTTGCAGACAATGGTTTGGTAATGTTTCATATTTTTGGCAGTGTTTTTAGTGCAGGCCACGCGCCCTCCACTATTGAAAATGCAGGCCAGTTCCTATATTTTATCGTTGGTGTAGGCCAGGTCTTTTTCTCTAGTCTTGTAGCAAACCGGGCCTTCTCTAGGTTTAGTTACAGGCCAGCTCTACAGGTGATCTTAGTACAGGCCAGCCCTTCAGATGTTACAGGCTAGACCCTCTTCAGATGTTACCGGCCAGATCATCATGTGGTCTTGGTACAGGCCAGTCCTCCTAAATGACTATTGGTTAATACGTGAACCTCAGAAGGCCGTAGTGAGGGGTTAGGCAGACCACACGGCCCTCTCATGTAAGGGTACAGGTGGATCTAGTCTAGGTCCTCCTCTACGTTGCCTTAACCCGCTACTCTTAATGTGGTGAAGCTTCAGGTAACTCCCTACTCTAATTATTGGTTGGTTCAAGGTGCTTACTCTGATGATTAAACCTCCTTACTCTAATTATGTGTAGGTTTAATTTGTTTACTCATGATTAAACCTCCTTACTCTTATGTGTAGGTTTAATGTACTTACCCAGATGATTAAACCTCCCTACTCTAATTATGGGAAGCCTGAGATGCTTACTTTAATAATTCTGTAGTGTCATGTCTCCCTTACTCCAATTTTGGTAGGATGTTCACCACTTACTCTTAACACTGAGAGAGAGTAACAGACCTTCCTACTCTGATTCTGGTCAACTCGAGTCTCTTATGTATGTTATGTTGACGCAGGCCAGATACCCTACTCTGGTGCAGGTCAGGTCGGATAAACATTACTCCAGGGCAGGTCAGGTCAAATAAACATTACTCCAGGGCAAGTCAGGTCAGGCCAATCTTATTATAGTACAGGTCAGGCCAGATAAACATTACTCCAGAGCAGGTCAGGCCAGATAAACATTACTCCAGGGCAAGTCAGGTCAGGCCAGATAACATTACTCCCGTGCAGGTCAGGTCAGACCAACCTTACTATACTGCAGGTCAGACCATGCACCGTCCTCCTATGCAGGTCAGACCAGGCAAACCTTCCTCCAGTGCAGGTACAGTCCACCCTTCCTCATTTAGTGGTACTGGTAGTGGTGCAGGTCATGTCAGACCAGGCCAGGCCAACCTTCCTGTTAATGTGAATGCAGGCGCGACCTTCTCCCCCAATTAGGTTGCAGGTTCCCTCCCGAGTGTGAGTAGCATTCAGCGTTAATCTGTCATCATTGGGTTACTCACCGCCCCTGTGTGTGGTGAGGCTCCTGTGTGTGATGAGGCTCCTGTGTGTGATGAGGCTCCTGTGTATGTGGTGAGGTTCCTGTGTGTGTGGTGAGGCTCCTGTGTGTGTGGTGAGGCTCCTGTGTGTGTGGTGAGGCTCCTGTGTGTGTGGGGTGAGGGCTCGTGTGATGGGGCTCCCTGTGTGTGTGGTGAGGCTCCTGTGTGTGATGGGCTCCTGTGTGTGTGTGTTGAGGCTCCTGTGTGTGTGTGTGTGTGTGTGTGTGTGTGGTGGGTGTGGTGGTGGTGGTGGGGGCTCCTGTGTGTGTGTGTGTGGTGGGGCTTGTGTGTTGTGTGGGGGCCTGTGTGTGTGTGTGGGGCTCGTGTGATGGGGGCTCCTGTGTGTGTGTGAGGCTCCTGTGTGTGATGAGGCTCCTGTGTGTGATGAGGCTCCTGTGTGATGTGGTGAGGTTCCTGTGTGTGTGGTGAGGCTCCTGTGTGTGTGTGTGTGTGTGTGTGTGTGTGTGTGTGTGTGTGTGTGTGGTGAGGCTCCTGTGTGTGTGTGTGTGTGGTGAGGCTTGTGTGTGTGTGTGTGAGGCTCCTGTGTGTGTGTGTGTGTGTGTGTGTGTGTGTGTGTGTGTGTGGCTGTGTGTGCGGTGGTGAGGCTTGTGTGTGGTGGTGAGGCTCCTGTGTGTGTTTGGTGGTGAGGTTACTGTGGTATTGACGTATCCTTCGTATCCTTCCTTCCTTCCTTCCTTCCTTCCTTCCTTCCTTCCTTCCTTCTTTCCTTCCTCCATTCCTTCTTTCCTTCATTCATTCCTTCCTTCCATATTTCCTTCCTTCCTTCCTTAACCTTTCTTCCTCCTATCACCTCTCTTGTCTACAGTTTATTATTTCACTCATTTGGACTTGACTTAACCCGAGTATTATCTCATTTGTCTTATTTTCTTCCTCTTTTTTTAATCCTTTCCTCTTCTTCCCTAATCTTCTCTTTATTTTCTTCTTTTGTCCTAATCTTCTTCATTTTCTTCTTCTGTCTTAATCTTCCTCATTTTCTTATTATTACTATTTATCTTCTTTCCTAATCGTCTCTTCTTTTTCCTCTTCTTTCGTAATCTTCTTCTTCCTCTTCTTTTCTAATCTTGTCTTCCTTTTCTTCTTCTCTCCTCCCCCCCCTTTCATAGTCTTCCTGTTCGCCCTGTAGTGGTTATAATTCAATGGTGCCCCCGCAAATCGACGCCTCTCCATATCCCAAGCTAAATTGTCACCTCTTAAATCACAGTGGAAGGAGCGTGAAGAGCGAGCGTGGTGGTGGAGAGCATGGTAGTGATTATAACCTGGGAGGAGCGTGAAGAGCTTGATGGGAGGAGCCTGTAGAGCGTGGTAGTGATTATAACCTGGGAGGAGCATGAAGATCATGGTAGTGATTAACCTGGGAGGAGCGTGAAGAGCATGGTAGTGATTAATCTGGGAGGAGCGTGAAGAGCGTGATGGGAGGAGCATGAAGACTCGGGCGTTTAAAAATTAAAATTAAAACAAATATGAAAAATTATGGTTAAATGAAAAAAAATGTAGCCTTGAATCTGTTAATTATACAATGACTCTTTACACTCAGCATGACTTGGGGAGGTGAGGGGGAGGTGAGGTAGTTAAGACACAGAGTAAACAGAGAAGGCCACCACACTCTTGACCTGTTGCTGGTAAACACTGTGTTATGATGTACGATGGCCGGAGACTTTCTTGTGTGTGTGTGTGTGTGTGTGTGTGTGTGTGTGTGTGTGTGTGTGTGTGTGTGTGTGTGTGTGTGTGTGTGTGTGTGTGTGTGTGTGTGTGTGTGTGTGTGTGTGTGTGTGTGTGTGTGTGTGTGTGTGTGTGTGTGTGTGTGTGTGTGTGTGTGTGTGTGTGTGTGTGTGTGTGTGTGTGTGTGTGTGTGTGTGTGTGTGTGTGTGTGTGTGTGTGTGTGTGTGTGTGTGTGTGTGTGTGTGTGTGTGTGTGTGTGTGTCAAGTTTTTATACCATTCCTCGCCAAGGCTGACCTAAACACACACACACACAGCTTTCAGACGTTAAGTAGATAAGGGTTTAAGAAGTTGAGGGTAATTGATGGTGCGTCGAAAAGTTAAGGCAGATAGTGTTGGATTATTTTGTCTTACTGCCATAGAAAACGGAACTGAAATTCCAAGCTGTTCTTCTTATTATTATTATTATTATTATTATTATTATTATTATTATTATTATTATTATTATTATTATTATTATTATTATTTTGCCAGACATTGAGGGCTAGGGGGCTGGAGGGCCGGGATTAACAGAAGGGTTGGGGGGGCTGACAAGAAGGCTGGGAGCTGGCTGAATGGGGACTTAACTGGAGTGCTGGGGCTGGCAAGGGGCTAGGCTAGTGGCTGGCAGGTGAGGTACTACATAATTACTCTAGGCCTCACGAGTTCCCTCATCACGAGCCAATTATATTAGAGAGAAGTAGTTACGTGTACTGGGATCTCACGTTTCTGAGTTAACCACCTCTTCTCCTCCTCCTCCTCCTCTTCTTCTTCTTCTTCTTCTTCTTCTGCCTCCACATATATCCTTCTTCCTCTTCCTACCTCCTCCTCACACATTCTCCTCTTCATACCTCCTCTTCCATTCTCCCCACCATTCTTTTTCCTCCTGCTCTTCCTCCTCCTCCTCCTCCTCCATCCGTCTCCATCTTGCTCCGTTATTAAAAGTTTTATCACTTCTTCCTTTTTTGCTTTCTTCTCTTTTTATGTTTCCAATCTCATATAGGCACCGAGGCTCCGGCACGAGTCCTTCTCACGGGGAGGTGGGGAGAGAGGAGGGGAGGAAAAGGGTAACGAAGGAAGAAGAGGGAGGAAGGGAAAGAGGAGAAAGAAGAGGAGGAGGAAGAAGGAAGGGAAAGAGGAGAGGGAGGAAAAGGGAAATAGGAAGAAGACGGAAGAAGAGGAAGAGGAGCAGGACGACGGCGGGGGAAGAGAGAGGAGGGGCCAAGACAGTGCCA